AAGGAAGAAGAAAGACAAAGTATGTGAGATGCCAAATAGTGCTAAGGACATAGTAGATGCTCAGAAAATGAAATTTACAATCATCCTTATCATTGGGAGAATGTTTAATGGGACCATGTTCAGTAAAATTGTGAAAAGAGATATTTCATCTTTAGTCTCTGCAGATTCCCTCTCACTGCTATTTTCCTCTTCTGGAGAACTATGAGATTTCTTTTTTTTCTTATTAAAATTTGTATTTTTCAGCCAGGCATGGTGGCTCAGGCCTGTAATGCCAGCACTTTGGGAGGCCGAGGTGGGCGGATCAGAAGGTCAAGAGTTCAAGACCAGCCTGGCCAACATGGTGAAACCCCATCTCTACTAAAAATACAAAAATTAGCTGGGCATGGTGGCGGGCATCTGCTACTTGGAAGACTGAGGTGAGAGCTGATTGAACCCAGGAGGCAGAGGTTGCAGTGAACCAAGATTGTGCCATTGTACTTCAGCCTGGGCAGAGACTCTGTCTCAAAAAAAAAAGTGTATTTTTTTAAGCACCTTTAAATACTTGCAGGAAGAAGTGAGGAGATTGAGGGGGGCATTGCTTCTATGACTTCAAAACCACTGATGGAGATAACCCCTGACATCATTCATAGTGTAAACTCGCTCCCGAACTTCTTACACATAAAAATTATGAATGTGCTTTTGAGAGTTTCCTCTTCATGCGTTCATTGATCAGACATAGCATAAAGGTGCTTTTCCTGTGAGGGTAATTGGTATAGCATATTGGCGCCTCTTTTAAAAAAAATTTGGGGGGCAACATTGACACAAAACTGACTCATCTGGCAGGAAAGTTTGCCAATGTGAGTTGAGAGTGAGTCAGAGAGACATTTTACAACTTATCAGCCAGAGGAATCACTGATAATAACCTTGGTTGCCATAGCAAGTTCCTATCAGGCACAGGATTTGATACTCTCTCCAACTCCATAACGTATTAGCTCCATTCTAAAGCAGAGACAATCAAGACTCAGAAGTTTCAGCAGCTTACCCAAGGTCCCAGGACTGCAGCTTGCCCCAAGCCTTATCTTTCCCAAAGCCCTGTCCACCTCATCAAGCTGTCCCCAGAAGAGGAAGAAGCCAGAGAGGTGAAAGACGCCAGTAGCTCCTGTGAGAGGCCAGCTAGGAGGCCTGCCTTACACCCTGGTGACCACACAGTCAGAACAGTCATACTTCTGTCAATACATTCTTCTGTCAATACATTCTGATGAAGTTGAGAAATAAGTAAAGCCACTGGCTCCAGTCTTGAAAACCAAGGCCCACAGTAGTGGGTTATCAGAACTTATTTTAGTGTCACTAAACTTGGCGTACAATGCCCACTATTAAATCGGTAAATTATCCAAAAAAAAAAGAGGGGCTTCGGGTCTCTCACAGCCATCATTTGAAGTGCAGGATGGTGTGACCAGGCTCTGAGGGAAAGGTGAACACAGCATGGCAGCCTAATGACCCAGGCTTGAGGATGCCCTGGCTGGGGCTGGACCAGAAAGAGACCTGGCCAGGTATCATGGCGACCTGGGCAGGTATAATGGCCACAGGCTTGCCAGGAGTATGCGTGTGCAGGCGAGAGAGTAGGAGTGTGTGTATGTGAGAGAGAAAGAGTGTTTGCACGTGGATGTGTAAATGTGTGAGTGTCACATGGGCTGGGGTTTTTGCACATGGATATGTCTGGGTGTGAGTGTGTAAGACAGCATCTGTGTACGTGTGTGCATACGTGTCTGAGAGCACCTACATGTGTACATGTGAAGAGTCCACCTGAAGAGCTTCAGAGTTAAGGTGCTTTTGCTGCTCTCCGTCACTCTGGAGTATATCTGTTCCCGGTTGTCTAGGATGCTACAATCACCTATAATGTTTGTCAGGGGAGCCTGAAGGAACACAGTCCCCGAGTTACCCCGAGTCACTAATCCCCCAGGAATGAAATCCCCGCAACCCAGCAGCTATCATTTAGAGCCTTTCTCAATTAGCAATCACGATGCCTAAAGCTTTGAGCAGTTGTTGTATGTTTATCTTTCTCTTCAAGTTCACTCTGTCTGCTCTCAGAACCAGCCAAGTTCAAACAACCTTCTGTCTGGCAGCCACAAAGACAGCTCCCCCAGCCCCCACCCCAAAGCAGTTATAACCAGACAGAGGTTGGAGCTGATTTCCATGATCTCTGTGTGTGTTCTGTTGCTTTTGTAAAAAAGTGAGCTTTATGATGTGCGATGTTCATCAAGGAATTGCAGTAGCTTACAATATTAAAAACACACATCCAACAGAAATGCTTCAAAAACTCAGATTGAAACTCAATTCTAAAGAAGAGAAAGAGGTTTCATTGTGTATTCTGTTGCTTAATTTTCATTTATGGTAAGATAAAGCCATGAGCAGTCCAACACTGGGTAATGGGTAAGAATATGCCTTGACCCGGCTGGGCACAGTGGCTCACACCTGTAATCCCAGCACATTGGGAGGCTGAGGTGGGAGGATCACCTGAGATCAGGAATTTGAGACCAGCCTGACCAACATGGAGAAATCCCATCTCTACTAAAAATACAAAATTAGCCCAGCGTGGTGGCGCATGCCTGCAATCTCAGCTACTTGGGAGGCTGAGGCAGGAGAATTGCTTGAACCTGGGGTGGCAAGGTGGGGCTGAGGTCGTGGTGAGCCAAACTCCTGCCATTGCACTCCAGCCTAGGCAACAAGACCAAAACTCTGTCTCAAAAAAAAAAAAAAAGAATATGCCTTGACCAATCAAGGTGGCTCATTTCTGTAATCCCAGCACTTTGGGAGGCCAATGTGGGTGGATCACTGAGGTCAGGAGTTCGAGACCAGCTGCCCAATTTGGCAAACCCTGTTATCTCAGAGAGAGAGAGAGAGAGAGAGAGAGAGAGAGAGAATATGCCTTTAGGAGTTACACACTCTGACTTTTAATTATTGTACTGTTTTCTCCAGGCCTCAGTTTACTCATCAATAAAAACAAGGACAATGATAGATCTACCCTGTATGATTGAAGAATGGAATAAGATAATGCATATAAAGTGCTTAACACAGTGCCTGGCGTGCAGGGAACAGGCAATTTAGCGATGTTGTTATTTTCACTGCCGTGTTAGGATTTGAATGGAACCCACGTTGCATCTCTTTGTGGTGGTATGCACAGATCTAGGTGGGGTTTCCCCCTCTCTTCCGGACCATTGGGAAGAGAGGTGAAAGGAATATAGTACTAGAGTCCCATCATCTAGTAACCAAGAGCAGATGTGTGGCCTGATCTTGTGTATGGCAGCAGGGTTGTTTAGGCTGCATGAGAGAGTGTGTGACTTGGGATTTCCTTTAATTTTCTGTTTTTTAGGTTTCGTTTTGTTTGCAAGCTCTGCTGGGCATTTGTATGGGCTGGATTGGCTTGTGGGCTCTGTTATTGCTAGGAATGAGGCTGAGCTGAGCCAAGGTGATGGCTCATGCTCCACTGCAGGTCAGGCTGTGGCTACCTGGGGCATAGTCCTGGAAGACCTGTGGGCCTCCTTCTAAGGCCTACTTGAGTTCTGTTGATCTTTGAGGAACAACAGATCTTAAGAGCAACCAACCTCAGAGAACACTGGTAGCCTTTTTGACAGACCCAGCCTATAGCGTAAACACTTCCATGTGAATTTTTTACTCAACCCAAAATATCTAGACACACAGTCATCATGTGCATACATTCCTGATGTCTCCGTTGGGTGGGTGAGAGGTGATCTGGGTTCTCTTTAAATGTAGTTAAGTGCTCAGGGGAGTCCCACCGAGCCTTCCTACCCATTCAAGAACCCTGCTGTCTTCTAGCTTCCCCTTGGCATTGCCTCAGTTTCCCAGATTTCTGAAGGAAGCACCCTCTGTACAGGCCTGTATGGGGAGTTACCCCAGGAGCTATCAATCTGATCCCACCCAGTAGTGTTATCCATGTAAATGCCTGTCTTGCGTTCTTGCCCTGCACCCAGCAAGACGGATTCAAGAGTTGGAGCTGCCCATTATTTATCTGTGCATCCCCATCCCCACCTCCACTCCAGGCCTCCTTGGTGTCTGACACTGAGTAGGTGCTCAATGAATATTTATTGAGTCAGGGTATGAATATGAAAGCAAGTGAGCAAAGGAATGGCACATTTCACAGAATGAGAAAATATTAAGGCAGAAGTAAACCCTGCCAGTCTTTAGATTAAGCCTCCATACATTACAGTCATGAACACAGAGGCCAGGACTCCCCCAAGAGGTGGGGCGTCTCGGTGGCAGGACCAGAGTCTAGGTGTCCTACTCTTGCTGTGACCCTGGGCTGCTGCGTATTCCCTCTCTCTTAGTCTTCATCTGTCATTCTCAGAGGGAGACTCCAGAAAATGCCTGAGAAACAGAGGAGTCTACCTGGGTCTCTGTCAGCCCCACCTCTCTTTGAAGTCAGTAGTTTATTAACCAAGATATGACTTGGCCTGGCCTCATTACAAAACCAAATCAATAAATATTGATTGAGTGTCTACTATGTGGACAGTCAGGTGAGAATGAGGGAAGGCAGGAAACAAGAGAGGAGAGAAGCCTTGTGCATACCTGTCATATGAATGTTTGCTCTGACACTGCAAGTCATGCCCCTAACACAGTCCAGAGGACGCAGCAGGCATACCTCTGGGTTTTCAGCACGAATGATAAGGGGAGGAGGTGTCTCTCCTGGCTCCAGAGAAAGCCCCTTTCTCCCTCAGGTGAGAGGGAGAGGAAAGAAAAATGTTATGTAAATAATGAGTCCACAACTACACCCTGTTCATGCACGAAAATTCCAGGAATGATTAAACTGGACTGTGGCTCCAGGATAAACAGAAATTTAGCGACGCAATTGCCCTGTGCTCTTGCACACACACACACTCCCTTCCTCTCTTTGTGTCACATTGACACACACGGTATGTTGGCGCCTGTCTATCAGCTTGTAACTGGCCCACAAGGAAGGCAGTTCTTCTGAAGAGCCCTCAAAGATGCCCACTGTCCCTGCTTACCCACTCCTTCACTGTGTCCTGGTCACCTCAGTTAGTTGCTCCAGGCTTCTACTTGTCCATTTTTAAAAAAGGGAATACTACTGGCTGAGTGCAGTGGCTCACACCTGTAATCCCAGCACTTTGGGAAGCCAAAACAAGAGGATCACTTGAGGTCAGGAGTTCGAGACCAGCCTGACCAGCAGGCTCTACTGAAAAAAAAAA